AATAATATAAAGTTAATTAATTTATATAATTATAATTTATATTAAAAATTAAAAACATAAAAAATATAATAACAAAATATTATAAAAGTTGAAGGGTCAAAATTAAAAATATCAAAAAATTAAAACTGAAAAATAATATACAGGAGGGGTATAGAAAATGTAAAGGGAAGAGTGTAGAAGGAGGTGGGGTTAGAAAACCCACATATATATATATATATATATATATATATAAATGAGAGAGAGAGAGAGTGTGTCGAGAGAGATGTTGAAGGTATGGATGTTGATATTGATAGGTAGGCGCGTGGGGAAGAAAATCTGCGACAGGTTTGACCGATAATAAGAGAAGTAGAGTAGTGCAGTGGAGGTCCACCGAATCACCTCCACCACACACCACCACACACCGGCGAAGAATATTATGGATTTGACGGATTACGTGATTGGTGGTGGTGATGGTGGTGGTGTTGATGGCGATGTGAAGGACCCAAAAACCCGCCAAGAAAACACAGTACGGATTACAAAAGAATCTTCAACATACACACACACACAGAGCAAAGAAAAAAACAATTCAATAATTGCCACCCCACGCTAAGCCGACAAATTATCATCACCTACGCCCCAATTTCTCACTTTCTCCCTCCTTCCAACCTAAATTACATTAACCTTACCGACTTTCTTTTTGTTTATTTAGTAACTCTTGAATTATTTAGTAACTCTTAAATGGTTTGGTGCAGAATGATTAAATGATCAGAATGATTAAAGAGTTCTTATGATATAGTACAAAATAAAATATAATTGTTTGGTAATTATGTACAATGAAATTAGGGCTCTTAATGGTTAAGAGTCATACTTTTTTTTTTGCCAAACACGATTCACCTCTTAACGATTCGGATGTTGCCTCTTAATGGAACTATTAAGAGGTAAACAAACAACACCTTAGTTTAGATATACGTAAGTTGGTCTCCATATCTACGGTTAATAAAAGAAAACTAAATTAGATAAAATGATCTTCAACAGATTTTTTATAATTTTTCTAAAATACATAATTAGAATTTAAAATCTTAAAAAAAATACATTTAGTTTTAATAGATTCTCTATTTTATAGATTCATCAATAATTGTATCATTAAAATATTCTCGAACTTTATTGTCTTAATATACATTTTTATATAAAATAATAATAATTCAAAAAAAAAAATTTATTTATCGTCACATCAAATTTTAAAGAATTTTTTAAACTTTGTGGTTTTTTTGTTTTTGTTTTAGAGAATATGTCGGTGAACATCTCCTGCAACTCTATTAAATTAATCTTTTTCTAGATATTTTGTAATTATTTTATTCTAACAACTATGTTAATTTGTATGTTAAATCAGAGAAAATAAGAAAATCTCAAAAATGTTTGAATTATAAAATGTCTGATAAAATTAGACATAAGAGATAATTAAGAGATAAAAATTAAAAACAAACATGGCCTTATTTTGGTGACAGAGGGAGTTTATTTTAAATATTTAAAAACATATGCTCAAATAAGATAAGAAAACATATTCTATACATCTAATTATAGGTAAAATTTCAAACGAGAACACTTTTAATTTAAATAAAAAGAAAACATCTTTATATTATGTGATGGTATACGTGAAATGACCTGGTGGTGTTCGGATGACTTGGCTTGAAATAGTTTTTCATCAATAAAAATGACAACGACAAAGGAAGATGGCGAAAGGAGTGTTGAAAGACGAGACGACAGAGGGCAGTGGATGATGACGATTTTAGGTCCAAGAAAACCCAAAAATCAAATATAGGATCAAGAAACACGATTTAATGTTTGGCCCAGAAAAACGATTTTATTGATGGGTATTTTAGGGAATTCATAAATGTCAAATCTTGTTTGATCTTTTTTTGTAGATTTGTGAACCTTGACGTTTTATTCTTCGGTTGAAATTTTCATGAAACTAAAAGAATTAGAGCAAAATGAAGTTGAGTAAGAACAAAAGTGATGGCTCTAGGAATTGACACGGTGGCAGAGGACGCAGGAGGTGGAAGACTATAATAGCAGTAGAGGACATAAGACATAATTAGGTTGGGAGGTTCTTGGGTAGGGTAGTTGTTGTTGTACAACGGTGGTGGGTAGGTATAGTAAGGGCCCTGAGAGGTCGACAGGGGTAGAGTGTAGTAGTTGCAGCCACCGCTTCTACCAAAGCTTGGGGGGGTAGAAGGCGGAGTAGGACAAACCCGTGTTGCCGTTGTAGAGGGTTTGGGTATTGATGGTGGTGGTGGTGGGGAAGGCGACAGTAGTGGAGAAAGGATGGGTTGACTACATGGGTTATCACAGAGCGGGTCACATTGTGCATCCGATTTGGTATGTTGTACCAAGCCATTTGTTGATTGAGTTACAATCAAGAGTAGTGATGCAACGAGTAAGAAGATCAAAGTGTAATTTGAAATCTCAAATTACAAGTTTGCTCTGGAACTTCAAAATCAGACATGAGATTAGACATAACTTTCATAAATATTACAAAAATGACACGATTTTTAACAACCCTTTGGATGATTGAGGTTGATCTTCATGGTTCTCAACTTTTTTATGGTTCTCATTTGATTAACGTACTATATATATTGATGATGATAAAATAACAATTATAGGCTTTGGAGATGAGTTATAATGTGTTTTGGGAGTTGGGAGACATTTTTATATGATTATAAGTATTAGTAATTATAGCTTTCAGAGTGAATTATGGATTTGGTCCTAATGGTAGTGAGAATTACAAAACTAGCCTCTAAACTCCATTTATTATGAAAGAATCCTCAAACTTTGTATTTTGTTTCGATTTGGTCACTTGTCAACACCATCTCTGGCAAGTTCGAGGGCAAAGTGGTTTTTTTTACCAAAAAATCAATATCAATTTCCCCCCCCCCCCCAACTTTTCCAGTCCTTTTTAGTGCACGAGTTACATGATGCCATGCTTCGCACATCATGGAACTTCTCCTATACCCCTCCCTTTTGTCGACCTTCTTCCTTGATGAATATCCGTTAGTCATCGCGACCTCCACTTGATCTACACCTCTTCTCTTTTTGTCTGTCATAGCTTCCGCCAACTTCACACATGTATGGATCATAACTTCCCATTCATCACTACATACACATTAGTAATATGAAAGAGCAAAAGTAAAAAAGTGAAATATTGTAAGAAATAGAGATATGGGTCGTGTGGGGTTTCATTTGAGACGAAGGAGGTGGTGGGCTAGAGCGGAAAAGTACCAATGGTTTAGAGATTAATTGCGATGGGAGAGAGGGAGGAAGACGATAAAGGGTGGAGGTCAGATGCACATCCATTGTGGGAGGGTACTTTTCCTCTAAGTTGATCTTGTCCTAAAAAATGGTGAGTAGAATCGAGGAAGGTGCACATCATAGATGATGAGGGGGCGAGGGTCTTAAAACCGTTAAAAATATCCAACAAAGAAAAAAGGTTAAAAGGATTAACTTTCCCCTAGACTTCATTAAGTAACGAACTCTTCCATACTAAATAAAGTTTAAGAACTAATATCATAATTTTCACCACACTAGAAAACATAACATTGTAGGGGTAGCTCAACCGACAATAAAACTTGGAGATTTGCAGATCTTTTTAAAGGTCACTGATACAAATCCTGCAAAGCCATTGCAGATCTTTTTAACTGTTCTCCAAGACCTTGTTAGTCGAGGCGCATGTAAACTGACCCGAATACCCATAATTAAATAAATTACAATTTTTAAAAATTAATATCTTTATCAATTTAATTTTCTGAATAAAAAAATAAAAAATAAAGATGGTCTAGGAGCTCAAAAGAAAACCCAACATGTATTCATATGTGGCAAATAGCAATATAGCAATAGCAACAGCAATAGCCAATAGCCTGTGTTATCATTAATCACAGCCCACAATTAACCACCCTCCCCCACCCTGCAACCTCCGTCGCAGCCACCCGTCTGAAACCTTGTCTCCCTAAGCCACCACCACTCTGATAAAAAGCCTTCCAAAGAATATTAACCTTCTCTCTCTCTTTCTCTTCTTAATAAAACCCCATTTTCAACATCTCATTTCCACATACATCCACCGTTCTTTCAAATGCCATCAGATTCCGCCGATCACCGTCGTATAACCACCGGAAAGCACCACCATCTGGGGGTTGCTGCACCGCCTCCTGAACCGGAACACCTTCCTTGCCCACGATGTGACTCCACCAATACCAAGTTCTGTTACTACAATAACTATAATTTTTCTCAGCCTCGTCACTTCTGCAAGGCTTGCCGCCGGTACTGGACTCACGGCGGGACGCTCCGTGACATTCCGGTGGGTGGTGGAAGTCGTAAGAATGCTAAGCGTTCACGTCCTTCCACCGCCGTGTCGTCGTCTCACAACATTAACAGCTCCGCGGTTTCCTCCGGTCTTGACTACTGCCATATTCTTCCCACTGCCACCGTCCCTGTCTTTCCATTCGCTGGAGATCACGGCGGAGCGGCGCAGTTTGTCGGAGATGTGAAACCCGGTGTTGGAATGTGTGGGAGTTTCACGTCGCTTTTGAGTAATAATCAAAGCCCGGGGCTTTTCGGACTTGGAGTTGGAGGGTTTGATCAAGAATTGAGCTTCGGTCTTGGAAGAACGATTTGGCCGTTCTCCGACGGTGTTGGTGGTGGTCACTCCGCCGCCGGTGGTGGCAGTGGGAACACGTGGCAGCTGGAGAGTGGAGATGGTGGTGGGGATTGTTTTGTTTTGCCGGATCTTGCGATTTCGACACCAGGCAATGGCATGAAGTAGATGATTGTTATAGGATATATCTAATTATGGTGTATTTCATATATATATATATATATCATCAACTATTTTTAGTATCAGACTTCAGAATTTTAGAAATCCTTTCGATTGTTCTTTAAATGTTGCCATTTTTTTTCTTCTGGTTAACCTGAATATCCAATCCGCTATTCGAGAGTCGACTAATTCCAGGGCGACCACCTGATTTGCAGATGGTCCGTAGTCACCGCATTTGAACCTCCGTGGCCACAAGGGGATTTTTATTCCACATCGAATTTGAACGTAGGACATCTTGGTACTTTTGATCTATGGAGCCAAACTCAAACCATTCAGGCACCACCCTTGTGGTCAAATTGTTGCGAAATTTAACCACCAAGCGTTGTGGCGCATGGCGGATGTGATGAAATATCCTGTTTTTTATGATGCACTCACAATATTTGTGACCACTGAGTTTATTAGCGTTGATGCCTTGAAGGTCATAAAAAGATATTGTGATATTTTTAGCTTCGATAATATGTGAAAATAGTACAAATAAGTTAGAATTCCAGCAGAGGTGATGAATCGAAACTTAAATCGTGTAAAATTCACCTTTTAAGTAACATCCCGATCGTATATTTGTGTTACGAAATTTATACGGGGATAGCTCTAAATTCACAATCGTTTCTCCAGGGGCTGTTTACCAATTTCTTACTCAGGTAACCGTTTACCAAATCGCAGTACCATTCTGGATGAATATAACAAGGATCAAGAATTTTACTTAGTAAGAATGAAGGCATGGACTGAGAGTCTTACCTGGTAAGTGATGAGAACGACTCTTACCATGGCTAGTACTAGTCAGGTAAATTGTTACATATGATGTCATTTTGGTGGATTAAAATCTTACTCGACAAGTAAACGATAGTATTGAATTTACAGATAAACACCTACCGTGTAAGTGTTCAGGTACACGGTAGGTAGTTTCGAGTGGTTATCAGGTGGTCACAAGAGGTTACAAATGGTTAACACAGTGGTTAGGAAGACTCAAATGTCATCGGTGGCCGGTCGACACTAACTTGCTAAGCATCGAACCCACTGAAGTTAACCACTAATGCATACCGTTTAGGTTCCGAAACCACCACAAGGGGCTCAACCCCTAGACCTTGGAAGAGGGTGTGGCCCATTTGACCTGCCGTAATGCGACATCGAGCAATCTCGGGTTTAAGTTAACTTATACAAACATATACTTTCACACCTTTTAACCCATATTATAAATTAATTAAAAATCCATTATTCTTTTGTAAATTACATCAAATGTCCCGATGACGCTAAAATCACCAACGGAATATGAAGGCATTACCAATAACCTCTTTAATCCGAGTTTCTAAACATACGATCGAACATTATCTTCTTCCGATTTCGCCAGATTCTTTTGGAGTGACGACAATTCTTCCTGCATTGCATCTATTTCTGGGTGATTCTTATCTCCAGAAGAGAAAACATATGTATTGCTCGATAACTCGATCCAACTTAACCCGGCATCTTTCTCTCCCAAAACTCGTATTTTCCTCCTCATTTCCGCAACATCGTTCCACCGACCCGTTAACGCATAAAGATTCGTTACCAACACGAAAGCCGCACCATCTTCTTCATTAATGTTCATAATCCTATCGGCCACACGGGTTCCCACTTCGATGTTCCTCCTATCGAGACACGAACTCAATAACGTCCTCCAAAGTTCAAGATTCGATTCCCCTGAATCACCCGAATCCATGATCATTTCCTCGGCTTCTTCCAAGAATCCCGCTCGACTTAAAAGACCGATGAAGCACGAATAGTGTTTCGATCTGGGAATCAAACCGTTTCGCTTCATAGAACTCCATAAAAACCTCCCTTTTTCAACCCAACCGCAATGATTACAAGCTGCAAGCATAGAAAGATATGTGATTTCATCTGGGATCAAACCTTGATTCAAGATTTCATCCAAGATTCTAAAAGCTTCATCTCCTTTTCCATGGTGACCATACCCTCCTAGAATCGAGTTCCAGCATTTCAAATCCGGTGTGCCGATCTGGGAAAGAACTGATTCCGATGACCGGAGGTCGCCGGATTTGGCGTACATATCAATCAAGCTTCCAGAAACAGTCATTTCTAAATCATACCCTAGTTTAATGGCTTGCGAATGAATCATCTCGCCTTGATTATGAGCAGCAAGATCCGCACACGCACTTAACGCGATACTGAGTGCAAAACTATCGATCTTGTGTTCTTTCGACATTTCGTGGAAGCATTTGATTGCATTCTCGCCGTCACCCATTCGAGCGTAACCGGTGATCATTTCCGTCCAGAAAACGACATCTTTAACGGGCATTGAGTTTAGAAGCTTTTGAGCGGATTCACTATCTCCATTGTCGAAATACATAGAAACGAGCGTGCTTCCAACATACACATTCATTTCGTATCCTGTTTTCGTAACTTGACCATGGAGCGGCTTTCCGTAACTACGAGCCGCCAATGCTCGTGTTGCGGAGATGATCGTTGCAAATGTGTAGTCATCTGGCTTAACAAACGAAACTTTACAGATATCGATAAACATTACCATTGATTCTTCCCCATCGCCGTTCCCTAACAATCCGGCTAACATTGAGTTCCATGATACTAAATCTGGATTCTCGATCTCCCTAAAAACTCTTGCGGCCGTTTTCGGGTCTCCGCAACTGCAATACATGTTAAGCAAAGCATTTCGCAATGGCAGATCAGATGGTATTCCTGATACGATCACTTGGGCATGAACGAGCTGCCCGATTTCAAGATTCAGTAATTTGCTACAAGCATTGAGTACGACCGAATACGTGAATTGAGTCGGAAAATCCTGAGCCTTTACCATGGCCCGAAAGAAACGAAGTCCTTCCATGATCTTGTCGTTTTTCATGTGCCCAACGATGATCGAATTCCAGGCCATGGCATCTTTTTGAACCATAAAACCGAAAACCTTCTTCGAACTCTCTAAATCACCACAATCTGAATACATTCCAAGAAGAGCAGTTTGCACTAAAGTATCACTCAAGAACTCAAACTTTACAATCTGGGAATGCAAAGCAGATCCAAGTTTTCCAAGGGCAGAAGATGCTTGAAGTAGGCTAGTGAAAGTAGGCCCATTTGGTATGAATCCTTCGAGATTTAATTGCGTCAGTAGCCTGAATGCCATATGGGTACTGTTGCGATCTCGAGAATATGCAGCAATGAGTGCATTGTAAGAAACGATTGTTCTTTGAGGCATTTCGTCGAACACAAGGTGGCAGTCTAGGAGGGAACCACATCTTGAATACATGGAGAGGAGATTGTTGTTTAAGTAAGGTGATTTTCGGATTGGGGGTGTCGCAGTGATGATTCGAGCATGGATTTGACGGGCTTTTATGAGAGAATTGGTGGAACTGCATTTTTGGATTATGAGTGTCGCTAATGAAATGGGTTCTTGAAGCGATGACATATAAAATCGAGCAGCTTGTTAACCCCTTTTGTCTTTCGATTGCCAAAAAGATTTGGGGAAGAACAAATAAACTGTCTTGATGTGCCCGTCGTGTCTGATTACCAAATGGGTTTTTCCGCTTTATAGCTCGCAGGAGTTCTATCTGTTATATTTATAAGCGAACCCCTCTTTTTCATCTCTCTTGACAGCTCCGGCGACGGCAATCATATCCGGCGACGGCGAGATGAGCCGGCTTCAATATTCACGACTTTGTCATCTAATCCATGACTCACTGCATCCCTTCACGGTAAATCATACTCTACTTATTTTTTATATGATTGTTTCTTTCCCTTTATTCCCTCTTTTTTTCATCGTATTCTTCCAATATTTCTCAGGCGAAATCGACGGCATCAATCACCAAAGAACAAGAAAAATCCCTCTTAATTATTCTCTCTCAGGTCGTTAAGCACCAATTTATAGTTTATCATTACTTTTCCAAGCTTCGAATTCGTATATTCATAAGTGAATCGTTTATTTATCCAAACCCTGATTTTCGTCTTTTAGGTTTTAAATCAAATAAAGCTTTGGATTGGTGAATTTGATTCTGATTCAGATTCCGACAATGGTGATCATGTTAGTGTTTCTATCTTTTTTGTATTCGAATTGATTAGGGTTCATCACCATTGTTGCACAGTCAAGCTTGCATCTTATGAACAGGGAAATCCGTTGTTCGATATTTCTAGTAAAGGCGAATTCATCACCCATGACTCAATCTGCCATTCTTCAACATCCCAATGCATATTCAAGATTACAAATGATCTGGTACTTTCTTCAACCCATTCTATAATCAAGATTATGATTTCAGATATGCATGCTTCTACTATTCACATGTGCATAAACCTTCAAAATTTCGATTTCTTGCAGGCGTTTTTGCTAACAGTTGAAACCAGCTATGCTCGACATTTAGCAGGGAACGTGCTTGTAGCCATATCCGAGTTCGTGGTAGCATCTGTACGTTGTATATGTGACCAACAACAACGTTAGTTAGAAGAATAACCTTCTGACAGATTTAAGAATGACTCTACCTAACGGAAGAAAGCTTTCAAATCTGTCAAAAGATCATGCATTTAAAAGAATCCTTCGGAAAGTTATTCTTGTGCATGCATCTTCCACCCTATTTGTTCTATTGCTTTTTATGCCAATTTATCTTGCAGGAAAGCTATTGGGAAGAGTTTCTGCAATCCCTATTTTTTTTCTTCGAGCTAATAATCTGTAAAGCGGTTTCACCATCTTGTGATCCACCACCAAAGAGAGCCAAACATCTGGATTGTGATTCATCGGATTTCAAGTTGGATTTGCAGTCACTTTCAAGTAACGCAAGATGGTATTCAGTGGGATCTATCGTATTAGTTTTACGCAATATTCTGAAACAGCAGAAACATGAAGAAGATGATGAAAATTTGGAAGTTTACTTGAATGCCCTTGGTTCTTGTCTTCGAAATATACCAAGGGATTTCATTGATAACGTCGATGAAGCGAGCGTTAGCTTTTGTGGATATCTTGTTCAGTTGTTCTGTTCTGTGGTTTCACGAATTGGCTTATCGGAAGCTATGGCTGATTCTGTGGGAAAAAATGTTGCTATTCAAGAAATCTTTAACGTCTTTCCGAAAATTTTAGCTTGGTGTCTTGGCAAGCCTGGGGACTATCGTAATTATACGGGTATATCTCAATACATTCGACACAAGATTCTGGTATGGCTTTTGGATCAAGTTTGGAATGTTCTCCTATAACCACTACAACTTTATAGAATGTCAAATATGTCTAAATGTTCTAATAGAGTGACTTAAATTTATAGGACCAAACAATTGTGCGTCCTATGTAAAGATGTTACAATAGGATGTTAGGACGTATTTGAGAATCCTTACAAGTTTTTAGGACAATTTTGAAATAAAGTGTCCTATTAGCTTTTTTATAGGACACTTCTCAGTATCTTAACGAACACATCTTTTTATAGAACATTTGTTTTTATAAAACATTTGTTTTTATAAAACACCTTTTTAAACAATGTTATATAAAAAGAGTAATAGGACACTTTATTTCAAAGTTGTCTTAAAAACTTGTCAGGTTGTCAAAAACATCATATCAACTTATTGTTACACTTTTACACATGACGCACAATTGTTTGGTCAAATAAACATAAGTCCTATAAAACAGTCTGTTAAGACATTTTTGGTGTCCTATAAACCTGCTTTTGTTGCAGTGATTTTTTCTTAGTATATGTTGGAACATCCTTTCTCTTCTTAAGGGATATTTTGAAGAGTAATCTAATGGGGTCCACATATTCTCACTTGGTACCAAAGCCAAGTTCACTACGCTAAACACTTTGGCACTGTGGGGCAATCTGTATTCGTCTAGCCCCCACTCGACACTTTGGGACAATCTGTGCCCATTTAGTTTTTTTGGAGTCCCACATCGGCTAAAAGTGGACGGTTTCTCTACAACATATATTGGAACCTCCCTCCTCCCCTCGAGGGTTGTTTTGGAGAGTAATCTAATGGGGTTCCACATATGCAGGTACTGATGATAAGGCTTAGTTCTCTAGTCCATCTAGACTGTAAGATGATTATTTCATGGTTGCATCTTATCGATAAATACTTCCAAGATCCGTTATTCGAATCTGTAACTCAACCACAGGCTGATCAAGACGACTGCCTTCAAGATTCGCCATTTCTACCATCTTTTGATGATGTAGAATACAATGATGGTTCTCATCGGCATTTAAAAAGACGGGTTGTTTTCCTTTACCTGAAATGTGCTTTCGGTTTGATCAGATTGAAAGAAAGACCAAAAATGCAATGTTTATGTGGGGATGTGAATTCTTGCTCAAAGAAAGGATTTGCAGCAGTTTATGAATGGCTTGAAAAGCAGCTCCCTGCAGATACCTTTTCGAAATCCGAGTTGTATAATGATAGATGCAAGAGGTTCACAAAGTCTTTCCTACAACTTTATATGCATGAGGTGGTTCTCATCTTCTGTAAGCTAGCTTCAAAACTTGCTTCATACCTTTTAATAAGATTTACATAAAGTTTCTTTCGGGAAAAGGTCAGGTCTGCGTACATCTCACTCCTCCCGGACCCCACCTTCGGGTGGGATTTACCGGGATTGTTTGGATGGGTTACGTAAAGGTTTCTTTATCTGATTTTCGTTATTGGGTGTCTATATCTTGGTCCAACCTTGTGCGTTGTGTGTCCTTTAAGGGTGCGTTTGGACGCACGCAGGATTGGACTGGACTGAACAGAAGAGAGTGAGATAGGCGGGAGAAAAAAAATCGTGCAAAGTTGTAAGGTTTTAATTGACATGGGTAAGTTTAGTAATTTACCAGCCTTGTCCCATCCTCGTGATTTTTTTGATCTTTTTTGGTGTTTTTCTCCTACTCAGTTTTGTCTTGTCCCAATCTTAATGCCACACCAAAAGTGTTACAACAAGTTTTTGTTCTGTTTAGTCATGTTCCACGTAAGGGTCCATTTGGTATGTGAGACATGACAGAACAAAAACTTGTCCCACATTTGGTACGACATTAGATAGGACATGATCTGATTGGAACAAGAATGCATTTTTTCTATCCCACAAAAATCTGAGAGATGATAAATTACGAAACTATCCATGTCATAATTAAAACCTTCCACAATTCTTTCACCCGTCTACCTCGCTCTCACCCGTCCAATCTCATCCACGTACTAAACGCACCCTTAACGGTATGCATTTCTCATTTAGATGTCCTTTGATTTTCCTACAAAACAACCAATGCCATGGATGTTCTTAATTCTGGTTGATCTTCAGGATGATATGCTATTTGAAGTTCTCTTGCAGCTAGCGAACATGCCATTTGGCTGCGAGCAACGGTGAGTAACTCAACTTACACATTACTTATAATTATATACACACACACACACACACACACACACACATACCTCAGGTAGCGGCCAAATTCACGTGATTAGTGTAAAATCACATGTGATTCAACCGTTTTTTTATTTTCTCATTTAGTTGTTGTTCTGGTATGAACCTGACTCTCTCCCTCTATATGTGTGTGTGTGTGTGTATATATATATATATTCGTCATGTATTTGTAGCATTGATCGGCTAGTTCCAACAGGATTGCTGAAGAGTGGACATCCATGGTGGTTGAGAAGAATATCCTTTTACTACTGTCGGATGTTTTCGATCCTGTACACCTATTCCATCTATTTCTTTCAAACGTAAGTTCTTCGTATACGGTCTTTACCCTTTGCTATATGTACGTTTGTTTGGATTTGTTCTCCTAATTTCATTCCCGTCGTGCACATCCTAGAGAATTGGTGAAACCATTGAAGCTGATAATTCTCACAAAAACAAAAAATCGGCTTTATTAGGACGCCAAATGTGTCTAGATGTACAAATAAACTGCTTTATAGGACTTAAGTTTATAGGACCAAATAATTGTACGTTCTTTGTGAATGTGTTACAATAAGTTGATAGGACGCTTTTGATCTTCGAACAAGTTTTTTAGGACACTTTTGAAATTAGTGAGGATGTACGGGTCAAGGGACAGTCTTAGGTAGACAGTTTCTATTTGAAAAAGTGTGTTGTAAAAAAATGTATTTATAGAACAGTAGTGTCTTGTTAAGATGTCCATATATGTTCTAACATGTTATTATAACACCTTTACATAAGACGCACAATTGTTTGGTTCTATAAATTTAAGTCATGTAAGCAGTTTATTAGGACATTCAGACATATTTGACGTCATATAAAGTCCATTTTGTTGCAGCATCTGTAACATTACTCCATCGTATATTCTGTTATAAAGCGACCGTCTTGCTCTCATTTCTATTATTTGCAGCTACATTACGATCACCAGGTGCTTCTCGATTACCTTATCTCAAAAGACACCGGAGCCAGCTGTGCTGAATATCTTTTAAAGCAAGTATCATCATTTTACTTCTCATCCAATCTTTTCCTATGATTGTCTAATTTATCGGTTTACAAAAACAAACAGATTTATTGATTCTGCTTTCAGACTTCAACATCACCTTTTTATCAGTAAGAAGCGAAAAAATATTTCAGAGTTCGTAACCTCTTGAAAACCAGACAACACCTTAATTGGTCACTAATGCAAAAATGTTTTCAGGTGCATTCGTATCGTATGCGATAAATGGAACTCCTTTCTGGGATTTCAAGTTCCCAAAGAAGGTGGAAACCGATCTTCTTTCAAACGAAGAAAAGTTACGAATGATTCATGCGTTCATCAAGAATCGTCTTCAGAATCTGTGAGTGACGAGATTCCAGTTTCTTCCAAAACGGATCTTACGAATCAAGAAACCTGTAAACAACCGTTTTATGCCGCCATTGACTGCTTGCTTCTGCTAAAGAAATCCGTAGAGAACTTACACCAGAAAAACTTGTTCCCGTATAATCCAGAAGTGCTCTTGCGACGGTATGCTTCTTTTAAACACGTTCATCTTCCATATAACCGTAATTCCCTTCGTTTTTATTCAACATACATAAAAGATATAAAGACGCTTCCGATGCATTTGGTACAAAGACAAGACTGAACTGGATAGAACTGGACGGGATGGTACAGGAATAGTGAGGAATGGGTGTGAGAATTGTGAAAGGTTTTTGGGTTTTAATTTTGACATGGGAAGTTTAGTAGTCTCAGATTTTTGTTCCACCTACTTATGGCGGGACAAAAACACTCGGTCCTGTCCTGACCTGTCCTATCCCAGTCTTCAGGGGTTGTTTGATTGGTTTTCCATTAAGTTCGGTATGGATAAAGCTGTCTGTATGAATTAACCTGTCTATATAGTTTTGGAAGGGGGTTTTCATGGGGAGAGACAAGTTTGGAAAAAATTGCCTTTATGCATAAAGCTCCCCTCTTCCCAGAAGCTTAATGAATAAGCTACTTTCTACATCATTAAACCACTACCAAGAGTCATGTATGGTTGACTGAATAAGCTGTGAGTTCCATTAAGCTCATTAAGTTGCTAACAAACAGGCCCTTAATGTCGTGCCAAACGTGGGAAAATTGGTTTTTGTTTTGTCGTACCCTATGTACCAAATTGCACCCTTTGTAAATCTGATGCACAAGTTAATGTTGAAGCCGTTGCACTCATGACTAGTTGTTTCTTTTGCAGTTTAACAAGATTTCAGGAACTTTGCCAAAGCCTGCACTGTTAGCCAACAGACCTTCAACGACGAATTGTCAGAAAACCGTTAGTGAATGGTCTATCGGAGATCCCGTCACTGCTTGTTTTTCCGGGTAAGATTTTCCATCAATACCAACGGTTCTTGACGGATGTATCTGTCGCTAGAAAGTTTTAACTTTGGAAAAATGTAATTTACTGCAGTATATTTATAAAGAAATAGATATAGATAATATTTAGAAACTAAAAGTAGCAACTTATTGAAAGAATGGAAAATGTAAGGTTTTAAAATCAAACTAAGGCGCCGTTTACCTAAACACTTACCCGGTAAGCACTTACCGGTAAAATTCAACACTATCTCCTACTTATCGAATAAGATTTTATTTACTAAAACGCATCATATGCAACAATTTGTCCTGGTAACTGGTAAGTGCTAACTTTGTAAGAGTCCTCATCCTCACTTACGGGGTAAGACTCTCGATTCTTGCCTTTGCTCTTACCGGGTAAGATTTTTAGTCCTTGCCATATTCATCCGGCAAAGTAAAGTGACTTGGTAAGCGCTTATCCGGGTAAGCGTTTGGTAAACGGCACCTAAGCCCCCCAACCAAAAGTATCATAATCATGTTCAATTAAGATATATTGCGTCATTCATCACGAATATGTATTGTTAATACTATTGATTTGATGTTTTCAATAATGTTTCAATATGATACCTGTTTTAGATATATGATACGATCACACTAAATCCAATAATCTGGATAACATAATGGGCTATTATGGTTATCGCTTATTTCAACACGATTTTGTGTGATTTGGGTGTGATAATCATGCGATTATCACACAATTATCACAAGGATTCCGCTCGACTACGGTTAACTTAGAAAATCGACTACTGATTTGGTGTGATATGGGTGTGATAATCATGTGATATCACTATCATAACAACGCACTCGATTTGATCATGGTTTCGATCGGTTAGGATTAAACAATCACACATTTATCACAACGATTACTCATGGTTTCGATAAGTTATGGTTACACTCGATTGATCATGGTTTCGATAGGTTATGATTACACAATCACACAATTATCACAAGGGAAGAGAAGAGAGTGGAAACGTACGTGATCAATACTGGAAAAAAAAAGATAATTATAATTAATTAAAATAAAATAAAAATTACTTAATTACATTACTACCCTTATTAATTTATTTATATTTAATATAAGTTAATTTATTAATTAAAAAAGATTAAGGTTATTGGGTTGTTCTCACGTTCTCATAAATCACAGGGGTTACTTGAGATCATGTGAGACCAAAGGTTTTTCATGAAACCCGTAAGACCAATTATCAACCCTTCGATTAGATATACAATCTGAACATTCATAATCACAAAATTACCACGAGACTTCTCAATAATCACAAAATTACCATTGTACAACTTAAAACCATTAGATCATTAGCTCATAAAGTTGATCACAATAACTTTTTTCTTACGATCATAATTTATGGAGATTAATTTAAACATAACATGTAACACCTTGAAAAACATGGTGTATTTTTTAGTTTATGAAATAGATATTATTTTTGAAGTCCTTTTCATAAAAAATGTTGTCACCTCAAGATTTTATTTTGCTCAAATCCTTCAGTTATTTGTTTTAAAATGTCCATTTAATAATAAATTTTAATATACAAACTCCACTTGTAGTAATAAAATTATCTAAAAAAGGGAATGGTCGACATTTTTTTTTTTTTGAAAGGGTATCCGAGCTGAAGCTCGACTAATCCCAGGCACATCGAGGGCTAAGCATGCCCCTTTGGTAAATGTCGCACAAGATGTGCGTAGAGGGATTTGAACCTGGGTTCAGCGCTATGAACTGCCCAGACACTAACCACTCCACCACAACGCTGATTGACAATAGTTGACATTTTTGACTTGTTATTTTGTAATTATCTCAAAATCTGAATAATTCATTTTTGTAATAAAATATTTAATTTGAGTTTATTTAAATATTTCATCGACTCCTGTATAAATAAATTTGTCTGTGTAAATTGCAAGAGTTTTTGTTTGAAAGATTTTTTCCTGAATGAAAACAACCTATTATTTAATTGGGAGTGACAAATTTAAAAAAAAAAAATTATCTTTCTGCATAAAGCTCTCTTTGGGAGCATACTGAATAAAGCTCCTAAACTTGAAGCTTATTGAATAAGTTATTTTGTATATCGTTAATTTACTATCAAACGACTTGGGATCATGTGAGACCAAGGGCTTTTCGTGAGACCCATAAGACCAATTCTCAACCTTTGGAGTAGATCTATAAGCTGAACATTCATAAACACAAAATTGCCACGAGACTTCTCAATAATCACAAAAATGTCACGTACAACCTTAGACCATTAGATCATTAGCTTATAAAGTTGATCAATGAACATAAATTGGTGTTACGGGTCTCACGAAAAACCATTGGTCTCACGTGAACCCAACCCACTATCAAACAGTCACGTATAATTGATCGAATAAGTAACGAGTCCCAAAAACTCTTTAAATTATTAACTAACGTGTCCTAATTGTTTAACTAAGCATAAAATCTTTCAAGATTTTGCGGAAAGGTCGGTCATGGAAATTCAATTGTTTATTTGCGATATTCAAACATCAAATAAATTTGAAAGCGTTGATCAAATCCTTTGCAATAACAATTTAATGCATATATTGAATATTGAAAAGCCATTGTCAATAGACAAAGCCTAAAGTATGTAATTATTTTATATAAAATGTTAAATTATATTTTATAAAACGGAAAACATTTGCTATAATAAAATTGAGTTTATAAAATGGTGAAAATTTCTTAGTGTTTTTATAGACCGCTTTAAGAAATGTTATAGATTAAAATTTGAAGTCCACTTCTAAAAAGAATTAGGTAAATGTGTATGACAACTAATCATTAACATTAAAAGTTTTAAAGAGAAGTTGACAACAATTTTAGAAATTTAAGTTATCTAATTTAATTGAAATCTCTATAAATGTTTGACTAATGTTAGTAGTTTATTTAATTAGAAGTCACAGTTCTAACTGAAATCTCATATAAGGTGACAAAATCANAATTGAAATCTCTATAAATGTTTGACTAATGTTAGTAGTTTATTTAATTAGAAGTCACAGTTCTAACTGAAATCTCATATAAGGTGACAAAATCACGATGTTAATTTTGTAACAAATTTAATTGAAATCTCATTTGAAGTTATGAAAAAGAAATGTTTTATAATATTTCAAGTGAAAATTAGAGGAGTGCGTAAGTTGTAGCAACGATTATAGATTTCAAAGATGGTCATCCAAAGAAAGACAACCCTATGAGGCAAACCCCATTATTTGACACAAAAATATCAAATCCATCTTTCTTATACACTTCATTTTGTTCAAATCTTTTAACTCTTCACCAATGTTGGATATCTCAGACTTAACCACAACTCATTAACACCTCAATACTCAATTATGATACCACCTCATTACTTTTGGTTATTCATTTAATATATATATATATATATATATATATATATATATATATATATATATATATATATAGAAAGAGGGAGAGAGAGAGAGAGATTTAGGCACATTGACACATTAAACCCCTCTATTTACCATTGATTCTCAAAAACCACCCCAAACTTTATAACCGGATAACCCGATTATCACATAAACTATGGAACTTAAACCCTATCATAAGAGCCAAACACACACACACACACTCACCTAAAATTCACACAAGATGTGGAAGAAACAAGGAGGTGAGTCCCTTATTATATGGGACATCTTTCAAATTAAACCTTCTAAAATAAGCACATAAACATAACAACCCCTTAAACCTTCAACTTTCTAAAAATAGACTTATCCAAGGTATTACAACATCTTTTTTTTATATAAAGGAATTCAGTCCTGGAATTCAATCACTCGAATTGATTAGGGTATTTGGATCTCATTTTCGATTCCGATTCTTATGTAGCCTCTTGATCTTATGATAACGCCATTGAAATTTTACTAACCCAACTTAATTTATCAACTTTCTAACTTTTTAATAACTGCTTCCGGCTTTTTGATAAAATGCAATTTCTCGTTCACTTAAACTGTTGGTAACAATATTGCCTGATCAGAAACAACTAAAAACTTTATTAAATTTGACACATGAAAAGTGCTGTGAATACCACTCAGCTTTGGTGAGAGTTCTAACGGATAAGCTACCTCACCAACCGGGTTACACATCACAAAAGGTCCGATATACCCCGTAACATATCTACAAACGTCTGAATCGTATATTCACTCTGCCCAATGTTATAACATTCATTTCTTATTTTCAAGGGAAATCCAAAAAGGCACATGTTATAGGTGCAATTTTTTTAATATTAATATAAAATTATTCTTAAATAATATATATATTTTTTAATCTAAGAGGTTACAAATTCACGGCGATTTGGTGATTAACAAAAATAAAATATTACCAAAATATTAAGATTTAAAATTAAGGTTTTAAATGTGCGTAAAACAATGTCAAGCCTTAAGAACCATAATGTGTCTATATATATATAGGGGCCTATTCAAGGGAGAACTGAGTTGTTTGTGGTAACTGTGAGAACCAATCTCAACCAATCATTTTAATATATTAATTATACAATTAAATTCAAATTAAAAGGGTATGTTAGTCAATTCCTAATTTAAATTTAAATTTAAATTTTTTAAATACAACCGTTTCAAATAAAATAAAATAAATATTAATTTACATTCCTAAAACAAAATATTAATATGATTTAATGAAATAATTCCAAAAAAACTAATCCGTTTATGTAAACATGTTCCTGATTCTGATGAATCACATGAAATCACACATATTTGTTGAAGATAGTATCCATAATATTTAAGAATGTGAAATCAATAATTTTTTCCTGCAAAAAATTCATTTTGGAGATTGAAAATGTAATGAAGAACAATGGTAAAAATCCTATTGATTCTTCAATTCATGTCAATTCTGATGAAGATAGAGTATATATCAACTCTCATGAAGAAAATGTAGATGTTATGGAGGTTGTGACCTGAGAGGCTAATGAAGAATTTGATGTTGGACTTTCTCCATTTAAAGATGTCCAAAGAAACTGTGAAGAAATCGGTTTGGTAGATGATATTGAAACTCATGTAATTGATGATACA